TAAGTTGGATAATTCTGATCTAGAATTAGTCTTCTATTAATACTAGCGACGTTACTATGATGGCAGTTGACTCGCTACTCGCTCTTTCATTTTTGCTATATCGCTCTTAATAGATATTAATCAACATATATTACATTATTCTTCCCTCTTCTCATGTTTACTCGATAAATGATAGCCTTACTGACCATCTTCTTGCTTATCTCTTTTTATCTGTTCAGTACCATTAATTTCCATTTATCACCATTAGTGATAAATGGAAATCTACGTATAAACAAAAGGCTATAAACTATCTACCAACAAACGATAAATCAACAGTAATAAAATCAGCCACTTATAATATATCTGCAACATATAACGTGCTTATAATAGCAACAACGATAACTCGGACGCGGTCGTTCGTAATATTATCCATCAGTGTTGATGAATAATGATATTACCCCGTAGGCATCTGTCTATGAGCATTACTGAAACTTACGTTACTCGCCTTTAAATGCTGCAATAAATGTCTTCTGGATTAATATTGTCATTACTCAAGAATAAAGCTGAATATAATTATCAGAGCAAGGGAAGAGATTCCGGCTTTAACCGCAGCGTTTGAAGATGCTTGCTAGCTGGAGTAGCCTCGGAAATGTACACTATTCTAATGCATAAACGGCAAGAATTATCAGGTTTTAATTATCGAGAAGAACAATAAACGCATTAAAACACCATTAGCACCATGGACAAATATTGCAGTGCTCTGTTTAATGCTGGAGAAGCACGATCTGTTCGATATTGCTACGTATTATTAAGTCTGGATTCTCCCCAGAGTCGTCAGATGATCTTAAAATCCTGAGCAAATACAAACTGAATGAAAATAATTTAATATGAAAATAACGAGTTCTAAATGTTTAATAAAATGTAATCCACGCATGTGGGGTGAGTTTGTTCTTATTTAGCTTTATTTCTTGGTACCAAGTTTGGTTTCTGGGTAACTGTGAATTATCTTCAGTAGTGAGTTAGGCATAAAGTCTGGATACTTTAATTCCTTATGTGGATATTAAAAGAGGTCAGTACAGTGCTTTTTAGGCAGATACTGCAATATTGGCTCTTTATGGAATGATTTTCCCTAAAGAAGCAGAGTAAATTCATTGAAGTGAAATACTTTTTGAATATATAAATATATTCCATTAATGTTAAAATAAACGTGTGGAAAAGAATAAAACTGCGAAATTTATCTTCTTTGTACATTTAGTAATTTATATACATAGGAGAAAGGGTTACTACTAGCCCCTGCTCCGGTATTTCAGTCGCCTCTTACGACACGCATGGCTTAAGAAGGAAAGATTTTTTCCACTTCCCCATGGAGATATATATAAAGGAATTCGCAAGAGAAGGTGAAATATACACAAACACTGATCTCTGGCTGAAGGAGACTCGAACCTACATCCCTTGGAACAAGGTACGCAGTGCATTACCATTCTCACCACACTGGACCAATACCTTGGCGTCCAGCTTGCGCTAGACGTTGATCCAAGGCAGCCAGCTTTCAGGGAGAAGGCTTACAGCTTTTCATCTCACTGAATGCTAAGTAAACCATTTGTCCAAGATCTTGTGTGTGTTAGTAGCTGCTGGCAGAGTACAGTGTGTCCCTGATGATCGTCGGACGAGCGGGTTTGGGGTGGAGGGGGTGTGGGGGTGCTGGAGGGGGTGTGGGGGTGCTGGAGGGGTGTGTGGGGGTGCTGGAGGGGTGTGTGTGGGGGTGCTGGAGGGGTGTGTGGGGGTGCTGGAGGGGGTGTGGGGTGCTGGAGGGGTGTGGGGGTTCAGCAGGGGGTCGGGGGTAGGGTCACACCCCTCATGCAGTGCAATAATACACTGTCCACTGTGATATAAATAAAGTTTTATGAAAAATAATAAGAAAGACCTTGATAATATTTCAATGTGTCGTTCTGATTATTTTTTTCATAAAGACGGGATTACATCACACACACACACACACACACACACACACACACACACACACACACACACACACACACACACACACACACACAAATAACTTAATATATGACATTAGGACTAAGTTTACAGAGACAGAGCTTCCGCCACGCTAATAATTACAGCGTTCACGAAAAGAGGATCAGACGGTAATTAATAACAGAATAAGCAGGAGCTTATGGCGGCGCTGTGGGAAGATGTCGGACTTGCTCCTCTGACGAACTGTATAGACGAGACAGAAAAACAACGTAAAAATTAGCCTCTCAGAGGAGTTAATGTTAGAAAGTAACGTCAAGAGCTTGAAGGGATGTGGGATAGGAAGAGGAGGAGGAAGTGATAAGGAGTAGCATGACTGAAGGAAGACAGAAATGAGATGAAAGGACAACACAAGAATAGAGAGATGAATCGGAAACGAAGACTAGTATTTGAAGAGGAAGAGAAAAAAAATTGAGGAGGAAAATGCATAAAGATGGGGTCGTCTTGGCGATGACAAACACAGGGAAAAAAAAAAAATGGGAAGCAAGAGAGGGCGAAAGAAGAAAAAAGGAAGTAGAGGACGACGGCGATGAAGAAAGGTAGTGGAGGAATCTTCACTCTTCATGACAGGGAAAGTAGGGGGTAGTGGAGAAGGAAGGGAGCGTCTCCCTTGCTCTGCATGACAGGGGCACCAACACACCTTAAGGGGGAAATCGTGCATTGTGGACTGCTATTTACCGACAATTATCGATTTCACAGCGGTTGTGTTTCCCAGACTGCCAGAGGCACACCCTGTGGTCAGGCAGGGAAAGGGAGGGAGGAAGGTGAAGGAGGAGGAAGGTGAAGGAGGAGGAAGGTGAAGGAGGAGGAAGGGGAAGGAGGAGGAAGGGGAAGTAGGAGGAGGAGGAGGAGGAAGGGGAAGAAGGAGGAGGAGGAGGAAGCAGGAGGTGGAGGAAAAGGGAGCGGGGGGAAAGGAAGGGGATGGAGTTAGAAGAAATGTAAGTGAGGGGAAGTAGCAAGGGAAAACTGTGCTTAAGAAGAATTGATTGATGTGGAAGGAGACGACTGGAAGGGTTAGAAGGGAAAGGCGTGAGATAGTTATAGTTAAAAAAAATAGCAGAAGAAAAGGGGGAAAACGGAAAGACAAATTATGTCCTCAGTGGTTCATTGGAAAACGTGACAAGCAATTTCAGAACACGAGTTCGAATCCCCTCACTCAAAGAAATTGTTTCCTTCAGTCAATCAGTCAATCACTGCCTAGCCAGAAAGGCTCCGATATTACAACTCAGATGACCCACTAGACCACAGAATCCCACCTCTCCTTCAGAGTGCAGGCACTTTGCTTCTTCCCACTGCCAGGACTCAAGTCCAGATAACCGGTTTTTCCTGAATAAAAAATATACACCAAAGTGCGACGTAACACAACATAAGTTGTTAGATGAATAAACCATTGTATATATTATGATAAATCATGAACACTTACGACACGAGTGTCAAGGAAGGTCTTCATACAAGCTAAAGGCACGATACCAGTTGAGAAAGTGTGTACTGCACTTGTTGAAGATTGAGACACTTATGCAACATATGGGAATCTTTATTCAGGAAACGCTTCGCCACACAGTGGCTTCATCAGTCCAATACAAAGTAGAAAGGCGTAAGGAGAGGAGGAGTTTGAGGTAATCAGTCCCTCAGCCTGGGACTGAGTGACTGATTACCTCAAACTCCTCCTCACCTTACGCCTTTCTACTTTGTATTGGACTGATGAAGCCGCTGTGTGGTGAAGCGTTTCCTGAATAAAGATTCCCATATGTTGCATAAGTGTCTCAATCTTCAACTTGTCGGTTTTTCAAACCATTCATCACACTGCACTTGTGCACCTTTTATCTATCCTGTGGATGGTTGTACAAGAGTATATGGATACACGATAAGCCAAGGAACTAAACTCTAGCTGGTTTCAAGTGTGGGATGATTTGTAAGACTGGAGTAGCCAGAACTGGAAATGGTAACGTGTGGAATACGAAGAAGGAATTGGAGAGATGAAAAGATAATGGGGAGGAGACGACTTTAAAGGGAAAAGGTGGAGAGAGAGCACTGAGAAAAATAACAAGGGTTATTGGGTGGGAAGAAAGTTGACGTTAGACTTGGGTAATGAAGAGCACTACAGATGCGTGGAAGAATGAGAAGGTAAGAATTATGAATTGAGAAAAAAAAGGAGAAAAACGAAGTAGAATTAAAACTAACCAAACCGAATAGAAAACGAGTCTGGAAAGGCAGAATCATTATACTATTTTAATTCACATATTTGCTATTTATTCGTTGAAGATATCACTCAGAATCGTAAACATCATGCCAGATATGATCCAAGAGTAGAAAAGAAAAACATAAGATTTTTGCTGATTTTTAATAAAAATACGCGTGAAAAATTAAAGTGGCTCCGTTATTTGTGCTAAATTTCTTAATTAGTGCTGGCGAGAGTATATATTATGGATTACCAAAGCTCTTCATAACCTCCACACGCTTGTCTCTTCTACGAATTTGCTCGTGTTGTATAATTTTTCATAATTTTCTCTAAGGAAAAGGCTTACAACACGCGTCTATCGTAGTTAAAAATTTCTATATCACAGATACAAATTCAAAATAATCTTTCTGACTTCACCTAGAAGCCAATTATGTGATTTTTTATAGACTGCAACTTTTTTTTTAATTAAAAATATAAAACTCAAAATTATTTTAGCTCTTGTGTATATTTAATATTAACTGGGCAAGACATAAATAAGCTTAGAAAAATTATTCTTTTCAAGGCTCTTTATAAACAAAATTATAAGCATTAAACTTAATAAAAAAAAAACATTGAGATGGATTTTCCCTCAACATCTCTAAAAACTGTTCCAACATACACGCAAAACAGAAAGCATGCATCTAAAATATTAAAATATTCACCCAGGCATACATAGAAGAATAATCTGCAAATGATAACCGTTTTAGCTTTACAATTGTAAGTCATGAATTAGGTTTTAAGCTAGGATAAACAGTAGGACAAGACTCACGTGGGAGAGTTGATGACGATGCACTGGACAGCAAGACCACCAGGTGATGACGGGGCACTGGACAGCAAGACCACCAGGTGATGACGGGGCACTGGATAGCAAGACCACCAGGTGATGACGGGGCACTGGACAGCAAGACCACCAGGTGATGACGGGGCACTGGACAGCAAGACCACCAGGTGATGACGGGGCACTGGACAGCAAGACCACCAGGGGACACCTGAATCATTACAGATATGGAAAGAATTATATTTATTCCCGTGATGTAATAACCGTGTAATACACATACCCACCCACAGACACAGACAAACACAGACAGACAGACAGACAGACAGACACACACAACACACACACACACACACACACCACACACACACACACACACACACACACACACACACACACACACACACTCCTGATCTTTAAATACAAGACAGCAGTTCTTGTCAGTTTGAAGTGGTGTTCATTAGAATTAATTTGAGTTTGAAGCCTCTTCCAGTCATAATTCCTCCTCCATCCCTCCCCCCTCCGTCCCTCCCTCCGTCCCCTCCGTCCCTCCCTCCGTTCCTCCTCCCTCCTCGTCCCTCCTTCCTTCCTTCTCCCTCCTCCTCCTTCCTTCCTTCCTCCTCCTCCTCTTCTCTCCTCTATCCCCCCTCTTCCTCCTTCTCTTCCCCCTCCTATCCCTCCTTCTCTCCTCCTCCTATCCCTCCTCCTCTTCCTCCTCCTCTTCCTATCCTTCCTCCTCCTCTTCTACTACTACTTTCCTTCCTTCCTCCTGATCCTTTTTCCTCTTTCCTCATCCCTCCTCCCCCTCCCTTTTTCCCCCCCTACTTCTTCCATCACTCTTCTTTTTTTTTCCTTCCTCTTCCCTCATCCTCTTTCTCCCAGTTACTCTTCGACCTCTCTTACTCCTCTTCCTTCCCTCCTCGCTCTTTCTTCTCTCTCGTTATTTCTCCTCCTCCTCCCTCTGACTCTTCCCTCTGACCCCTCTTCCCTCTGACCCCTCTTCCCTGACCCCTCTTCCCTCTGACCCCTCTTCCCTCTGACCCCTCCTCCCTCTGACCCCTCCTCCCTCTGACCCCTCCTCCCTCTGACCCCTCCTCCCTCGTTCTCTATCACCTTCCTTTAAAATATCACCATGGGGTTTCATGGAATGTACAGAGGAACTGCATCTACTCTGAAAAATATTCCGAATTATATTGTAAGAAGAGAAATCTACAATGGCTAACAACACTGTTCATTATCAGTCTTCATTATTACTATCCTCATCATCAGAGGGAAGACATAATTCCTTGGTGAGCATACAGCTCCTGGCTGGAATATAATTCAATCAGATTTGACTGAATAATATTCCAGCCCTGTAAGATTGGTATTTATTGTCCACAGGTAGATCATATATAGAGTTGACGAGCTCTCGGTTATTTTATATTACCCAGAACTTGAGACGTGGAGGTGAAGATGTATTAAAACGTGATTGGAAAGTCCTTGTAAACAACAGGATTCATGGTACCATGTGTATAACATACCTGGAAACCAAAATATAGTTAAAACTATTTCTAACGAGGAAAATTCTATGCTTCTAATGCGTTAAGTTAGTGATTCAGTCTCATAAATAATTAAAAAAAAATTTTGGGCATAATGCATTTTCTATTGGTATTTTTTTTTTTCAAAAATATCCCATGAAAGACGTGTCTGGAGGTAAATAAAAGACAAAGACAAATATTAAATTTGATGAAGCTTTTCATATATAAAGAATACTAGAAATATAAAAAAAAAATCCCACAACGTAGTACTTGCACATTTTATCTTTATTTAATTTGTTTGGCTTTGCAAAAAGAATAAAGATATGGAACAGTTTTGCAGAAAATACAATTATCTTGTGCTAAATTTAAGCATAATGTAAATCCCTACAACAAGAGTTAGATAAGTTGCCCAAAGATAGTGTTTAATATATGTTGTAACTTATAGTAAGTGCCACGTAATTTAAAAAAAATCAGCCAGAGAGAGGGATCTGAAAATATATATTTTGTTTTATTAGATTTAAATCTTATCGACTGTGCGATCTGTCAGTAAAATACTAATATCTAAATGAGATATTAAAGCAAGTATTTATATAAAAATATATACACTTCTCGGTGTATATACTAGCATATCTATACTGTAAACAACAGAGCAATATAGGAAGATCGAACAAAAGCAGACGTGAGAAGCAATTATGATATTCTAGTAAATATGAACACGAGACAAGTGGTAATGAATGACTATCAATGAATAAATACAAAATAGAAGGATCGAACCGTTGCTTGCTGGGCTCTTATCGGACATTGGCTCAAGTTCCCCGAATTGTTATTGCCTTAACAAAAAAACCTTAAATCAGGAATGGATGATCCTGAAACTTTCAGATTCCATTGAATATAATAATACTAATAATGATAACCAGAAGCAAGGTGACTGAACTTCTTGATCTCTCTTCCACCGACTGTTCAATTGGTTACGCCAGGCAAGGCTTGGGCTGGATTCACAGAAAAAATATAATTGTAGAGAGGCAAGGAAGGAAGCATGTCAGATGCAAATTTGCTGGCTACTTTTGAGTGATCCGAGGCAAGTTTGTGTCTGTGTGTGATGAGGTGTGTTATCTATTATTATATATATTTAATTATTTAAGTCAAGGAAGGGAAGTAGGATATTTGAAATATATATTGTGTGAATGAGTGAAGGTAACTAGGAGGAATTTTAGATAATTATTTTTGAGCAGTGTGTTAGTGCTCACTGATGTCGTTTTTCGATGTCGTGATATGTAATTTAGGATAGTGTTTAATATTAAAAAATATATTGTCTGTATATATATAAGATATTACCTATAGTATTATTGTGGTGTGTGTTCGTCACCTTGGGACGAAAATTGACTTAAGTTGCCCGAAATTTGCTTGAAAGGTACTCAAAGTCCGTGTTCGAGTCCTCAGTATCGATGGGAACATTAGGAAGTGTTTTAAAAGCCTATTGTCCCTGTTCACCATCAGTCAAGTAGGTACCTGGGTATTAGTCGACTGGTGTGGGTCGCATCCTTGGGACAAAATTGACTTAATTTGCCCGAAATGCTCTGCATATTAAAGGGTTTTCTGTATAGTAGTATGTTATTGATGTCAGCTAAGCTGGTATACCTTGTATATGTACTTCTAGAATTAAAGATTATTAACTTAATTACTTAACCACTGGTCACGAGTGAGAGGAGGTTCGATTGGAGAGGGAGCTGCCCAGCAGGTTAGCTCTATAGCCTATATACTTAGAAAAAAAAAATCAGATTTTAGTGTGAATATACGATGAAAATTTGCTTTAATTCCATTTTGGGGATTATGTTATTCTTGAAGGGAGAATACAAATGAACTGATACTTTATGATTCACCCAATCAGTAGATTGGTCTTAAATTTAACAGACTAATCAATGCATATTCCCCTAGTATTTCATTTGAAAAGTTAAAGTGACATACACACACATATATATATATAATACATAAAGGTATATTAATTTTTAATGAAGCTTCCAATGCATCGTTAATTTACAGAAAAGGTAATGAACTTTTTCCAAGCAATTGGAATGATTACGTTAAACTGTTTCACAAGCATGAAAGCAAAGGACAAATTACAGAACTTGATAGAGCTCAACACAGTGAAACAGAGATGATAAAGCTCTACACAGAACAAAAAAGCCGTCCCAACGTAAGCTTCATCTACAACTTGTGTCGTTATGTTTATGTTTCGCTACACTTTAGTAACCATCATCAAGGATGTCGTACATTCTCTTAACGTTATAATCTGCTTTACCATCGCGTTTGAAGTTCACTTTATGTAGACCAGAGATACGCATCTCAAGTGTTTTAATGAAGATTCACACTCAGGTCTGCGTCTATGCAAACGAGATCATTGTTACGCAGAATGAATGCGTAAGAGGGAGGGAGGATTTGACGCAGGATGAAGGCTTTATAGTGAACCGGGTCTCTGAGCAGCCTGAAGGCTTCATCACTGACTAGATCGTGAAACAGAGCTGATTTTTTTCATAGTGGCCGAGGTCTTGACGTAGGCCTCACTGTGATCGAATTACAGTCATCATCAAGGAACATCATAACTTTGACCTTGATTCAGTGTAACACTTCGTATGGTCCTGGTGACCGCTACGATACCTCAGGGTCGTGGAGATTGCCAGGAAAAGTCGTCGCCAGGACTTGATATTGCCTGGTGCGTCTTTGTAAAGGAGGGCGATGCAATTTTAGGGCATCAGCTTAGGTTTACTCTGATGATGCCTTCTTTCTGGGTGGGGGAAGGGGGCAAAGTGATGCAGGTGTGTCATTCAGCGCAAGAAGTGACAAAGGGCTCGATTCTCCGTCCTCCAATCGAGGCTCCGTCGGTAAATGATCAGATAGTTTTGTTTACTCGGTATTTAATGAGCGTTTTAAATCCATCATTTATAAAGGCAGGTATTGGTAGATGTTTATATATGAAATGTAATGCTTGAATGTGCGTGGATGTAGTGAGGATGACAAGAAACAAGATGATTCCTGATGTTATGAATGAAAAGAAGTTGGATGTCCTGGCCCTAAGCGAAACAAAGCTGAAGGGGATAGGGGAGTTTCGGTGGGGAGAAATAAATGGGATTAAATCTGGAGCATCTGAGAGAGTTAGAGCAAAGGAAGGGGTAGCAGTAATGTTGAATGATCAGTTATGGAAGGAGAAAAGAGAATACGAATGTGTAAATTCAAGAATTATGTGGATTAAAGTAAAGGTTGGATGCAAAAAGTGGGTCATAATAGAGTGTATGCACTGGAGAAGAGAGGAAATTAGAGAAGAGAGAGAGATTTTGGGAGATTAAGTGAATGTATAGGAGCCTTTGAACCAAGTGAGAGGTAATTGTGGTAGGGGACCTGAATGCTAAAGTAGGGAAACTTTTAGAGAGGGTTGTGGTAGGTAAGTTTGGGGTGCCAGGTGTAAATGATAATGGGAGCTCTTGATGAACTTTGTATTAGAAAGGGTTTAGTTATAGGTAATACATATTTTATGAAAAAGAGGTAAGTATACAAGATATGATGTTAGGCGAAATGACAGTAGTTTGTTGGATTATGTATTAGTAGATAAAAGACTGTTGAGTAGACTTCAGGATGTACATGTTTATAGAGGGGCCACAGATATATCAGATCACTTTCTAGTTGTAGCTACACTGAGAGTAAA